CTCAAAATATAAATATAAAAAAACAACTGCTCCCCAGCTCTCTGTAAAATACAGCTCCCAACCACTAACCTACTCTGATCTTGTCATTTCACAGTTGAGGAGACAAAATGGCAGAGACTTAACCCGCCTAAGGCCATAACATTGAGGGACAGCCAATTCCAGTGCTAACATTCTCAACTACCTAGATTAACAACCGAGTTTCTGAATTGTTCTAACAATTTAAAACAGTGCACTTAAGAGAATTAAAATAGCTTACAACTCAACAGCAAAAAACAACCTGACTAAAAAATGGGCAAAGGGCTTGAATACATTTCTCCAAAGAAGATATACAAATGATCAATAAGCACACGAAAAGATGCTCAGCATAACCAATCACATTAGGGAAATACACATAAAAACCACAATGAGACACCATTTCACACCCATTAGGATGGCTACTATGAGACAACAACCAACAACAACAACAATAAAAGTAGCAAGTGTTGGCAGGGATATGGAGAAACTGGAACCCTTGTGAATAGCTGGTGGGAATGTAAAACAGTACAACCGCTGTGAAATATACTACTTGTGAAATATAGTACAGCAGTTCCTAAAAAGATTAAACATAGAATTACCATATGATCCAACAACTCCACTTCTAGGTATATACTCAAAAGAACTGAAAGCAGGGACTGGAACAGATATTTGTACATCATTGTTCACAGCAGCGATATTCACAATAGCCAAAAGGTGGAAGCAATCCAAGTGTCTATCAACAGATGAATGGATAAACAAAATGTGGTCTATACACACAATGGAATATCACTCAGACTTAAAAAGGAAAGAAATTCTGACACATGCTATACAACATGGATGAACCCTGAGGATATTATGCTAAGTGAAATAAGCCAGGCATAAAAAGACAAATATGGTATGATTCCACTTATACGAGGTACCTACAGTAGTCAAATTCATAGAGACAGAAAGTAGAACGGTGGTTGCCAGGGGCCGGGGAAAGAGGGGAATGAGGAGTTATTGCTTAATGGGTTCAGAGTTTTAGCTTTGCAAGATTAAAAAAAGAGTTTTAGAGACTGGGTGCACAATGATGTGAATATACTTAGTATAAAAAATGGTTAAGATGGTAAATTTCATGTGTATTTTACAACAATTAAAAAAAGCCTACAGAACAGTAGTATTCCAAGTTTAGAAGGCATCAGAATCACCTGGGGGGCTTATGAAAACGCAAATTACTGGGTTCCATCCTCATAGTTTCAGATCCAGTAAATCTATGATGGGGGCTGAAAATTTGCATTTCTCATCCGTTCCCGGGTGATGCCAATGCTGCAGGTCCAGGGATGACACTTTGAGAAGCACTGCTATAGGCCAAAACTGGCACTTTCAACATAAAATCAACGATTTGCTATAAACGGCTACCACAATTATTTCTTTTCAGCTTAATGAGAACTTTAGGGATGGAAACTCTGGCATAGGGCAAAAGCATTGGTCTT